CAAAGTACATCAGCCAATGTTTTGTTTCTGCAAACAGCAGGACTAAAGCAGAAACATTCCTAGACTCCTAAAACTTTTATTAAGTAATATACATATGCTCCAATTATAAACCATAATCCCCTTTATGCTAGGTTCTTCTCAAAAACCCCCATTGATTTTCTCCAAAACCCATCAATAAACACAATTATGCAGTTCTACCCATAAAACCTGAACATTTAGCTGGTACAGCCTATTACTTCACAAATGTTTTAACAACTGGTACAAAGTCCAGTTTTACTTACTTCTATTTCAGGTCCACCAACCCAACGAACAGCAGGCAGCTCATTCTGGAGCAGCAAGTGATTTGCCTCATCATCAAAGCCCCACTGGCAAATGGCAAGGTTTGCACCAGTGTCTTTTATCTGAAAGTAACAAAAATCATCAACCTTCTCATCAGAACTAATGAAGGAATGAAAGACAGTCTTCATGGTTTTAATTCTCTCCATTTTCTCAAAACACAATTCTCAAGAACTCTGGCATACACAGAGATCAAAATATATCTTAAACCAAGCTAGTATCTCTTTCATACATAAATTTAACTTTGATTCATAGAATTACAACTGCTTGTACATTGCTTCCCACCAGGATTAGCAACCCATTTACAAGTATAAATCCATGCAATTTGCTGTTTTTTTAAAAAGTATGTGAAAGACCAAGAAAACAGAAATAATCTCAGAGGCTACCTGCTTCACCATCTCTTCAAACTTCTCTTTCTCGTATTTCTGCAGTGCCTTGTAATCATCCACAGATGTGACATCAAGCTTATGTTTGGTTTTAGGCTTAGGTGGTTCAAATGGACAAGTAAGGATTGCAATTTTAGCATCTTTTAGCTCCTGGGCAATTAAAAAAAAAAGATGATTTTTGACCTCATTAACATATTTTTCTTGTATTTGCAAAACATACAGACATCCTTATAAATATAGGCATAGGAGGAAATGTGAAGATCATTTGACTTATTCTAAAGTGAACTAACTGTAAATAAATAATTCTGTCAAGAGTCTCTATACATGACTTAGAACAAATTCCATAGCTCCAATACACTTAAGTACTTAACAATCTTTACCAGTGATGCCTTTTTTAAATTTAAAAAAAGGCCTAGATGTTTTAAAAAAAAAAATTCAGTAAAGCCATCCCTATTCCCTGTGACCATTGAGAATATTACTCATTTTTGTAATAACCTTTCAACTACTACATGAATGATATTTTCCACGAGTCTTCCTTTTTACAGGATAAACAGTGTCACCTACTAGAAAAGTATTTTAGAACAGTCTAAGTTTTCTTGAAGTACACTGCCCAAAGACTTGGAGACCTTACCTACACCAAATATAAAACAAGGACAAACTTCTGAAGTGTTCCAAATGTGACAACATGGCAATTCATAAAGGTTAAGAATCTCAACACTGCATTGCAGTAAGCATGTAAAGTTTATCACACACCAGAAACAATTATTTCTACATAACATAGAACCTTGCACCTGTCCTTACTTATTAGTACAGCAATTCCTTCCACAACAGTTTCTCAATATTGTTGTAAATTCTAACTTGGTCAATATGAAAGATTTCATGCTCCTTGCCCCTTCCTCTATTGATATATGGGTGAAAAGCCAAGCCAAACCACAAGACTGYGTAAACACTTAAAAAATGCTAGGATGACATTTGAGGTAGGCTAGAAATKCTTAAGAATTGCACGAAAAATGCACACAAGCACATCACTTACTTTAGGCATCTGTGGATGACTGAAATCTTTATCCACAATCACTCCTTTAACCAACTGTGTATCTTCCAGTCTACCACCCACTTTGCCTTGCACTTTGATCAGCTCAAAATCAACATCTTTACGTTCCATGTCTGCTACTGTTAGTACAGCATTCACAGCAATCTCTGCCATTTGTCTGTGACAGCGGTTCACTCTAGGTTTGAAAAAAAATACAGTCAAGTTGCGCTCCTTTTCCACAATTTGGAAGAAAAAGGTGATTCTATGAATCAATCTTTAACAGCAAGATCACTACAGCAATCAACTTTTGCACAATACATTACAATAGGATGTCCAGCTTATTTGTTCACAGAAATAACAGGTGCTGGCTATGGTAGAAAACAGAACAGACAGTATGGCTGGTGTGAGAAGCTTTTCTGAAAATAGTCCCAGTACAGATTTGGAACAAGTCAGGAGCACTAACTACTAAAGGACATTGAAGAAACAGAAACCACTCTTGAGACAGCTCTGYGAAGGAAGTCCTTCTAATGTTGGAATTTATGAAACTACACATAGAGCCCATACAGGAAAATAAACTTACGGAATCATCCCAAGTTAGAATAATTTTAGTGGGAAAAAACCCAACAAAAGATAACACATAATTTTTTTCACAGATTTACATTAATCTTAGCATTTTTTATCATGCAAAAACCTGGAACTAACAGCCGAGAATGAAATTGATGCTGCAGCTGTTAAACTTCATGGACCTGACCCTTTGGAGACAGAGGATTTGCAATTTCTTATCCTGAGACACAAGTCCACCAAAGAATTAGCCAAAACAAAACACAGAAGAACCTTCAATCACTCCAACAACACAAACAATTTAATAATCCTCTAAAACACCAGGATTTCTCCTTTCCACTCAGAGGGTTTTCAGTGGAAGGTTGCATATTCCATTTTTGCGACTTACACTTTAGAGCCCAGAGTTGTCTTTGCTGTCTGGATCAGAGGCTCAATGTTCTGTGGATCAACTGGGAAGCTGTCACTGATTTTGTCTAGATGCTCAATAGCAATGCGTGCTGCCTGCTCATAACCATCTGCTATTCTGATGGGGTGAATGCCTCGGTCTAGTAACTGCTCAGCCTGTTCCAATAATGCTCCAGCCAGAACTATTAAAAAAAATTAAAGTAAGTTTTACTCTTCATTGGGACATAATTTTAAATACATTATCAACAGATTAAAAAGAACACTTTCAGATTTTTTTCTGCAGTATTTTAAGAGTCTAAGGTTTCCTAAAAAACAAAGTAACCCTAAAAAAGCCCCCTACTTGCCATACTTAGAAAGAAAACCACATTATATTAAGACCAAAATGAAGCACAGTAATCAAGGCATGACAGGTACATTATAGAGGAAAACTATGCAAACTAATAGGAAAATATAAAAAGAGCTCTCAGCACCACCTTAAAATGTAATCATACTTTAAAAGGACAAAAAATCTTCTTTCTTATCAAAAGACTTCTAATACAAGAACTGACAGGAATACTGCACCAATAAATGAAGAAGTGCTACAGAAAAACTACTATTACTTCTCACAAAGTTTTTTAAAACAGCTGAAGCAGCTTGATTTTAATGCTGGAAAAGCACAGTATAATTTAAAATATTTCTTACCAACGACTCCAGTAGTTCCATCTCCAATCTCATCGTCTTGAGATTTAGCCAGCTCCACCATAAGTTTGGCTATTTGGTGGTCCACATCCATCATATTCAGGATGGTAGCACCATCATTTGTCACAGTCACTTCACCATCCTTGTCCACCATCATTTTATCCAAGCCTAAAAAACATATGCTCAAAAGATGAAGGAAAATGCACAAAATTCCCCCCAACAATCAATAAGAGCGCACCAGTGAAAGTGTTTCATTATTACCATTGGGCCCCAGGGATGTTCTCAGAGTACTTGCTACRGCCTTTGCTGCCATTATGTGAGACTGTAAAACAAAGGAAAATAAAGAAAGAAGATAAAYCATTATCATGCATTCTGAAATCACAATATTAAGCTAAAGAAAACACAGCAAGTAGTGCAAATGCTGTAATTCAACTGACAACTATGACTCAAAAAGAATCAATATGCATGTGCTGATTTTACAACAGAAACACTTCCTATGCTTTTTCTTGTATTCCTTGCACTGGCTGTGATAAAGCAGGCWAATGCAGAGCAGCCAAATGACAGCCCTACTGCTCAAATCAGGGGAGCAACAGAAACAGGCAACGCTAAAAAGAGAAGGCAGTGTAATTTTACCCATCACACAATGGTTTGAATCGGAAGATCATCCAGCTCCCATACCCTGTCAGAGGCCAGGACAGCTCTCACCAGATTAGGCTGCCCCATTCAATGTCCCTTTGAACAATGACAAGGACGGAGCATCCACAACTTCCCTAGGCAACCTATCCCACTCTTCCATCAGGATTTTTAATCGCCTGCACTCACACACGGCCTTCCTTTGGAGGSCGAGCATCGGGAAGAGGGGCGGCGTTCTGTGGGAGGGGGCAGCGGGGAGCTGGGCAGCACCCACGGGGAGAGGCGCRCTGCACCCACGGGGGTGACAGCCTCAGAGCCCCGCAGCTCCGGGGCGGATCCGCGGCACGGAGAGACCCCTGTGCCGCCGCGCCGCGGATTCCCCGCCCCGAGGGCGCTGCCTTCTCTCTCCCTCCATCTGTCCCACGCTTACGGGCCTGGATCACGCTCCATCCGCCCTGCGCCTCGGGCGGGGCTGGCGACGAGCGCGGCAGCGCCTCGCCCCAGGGGCTCCATCCTCCCGCCCCTCGCGGCAGCATGGCAGGCACAGCATGGCAGGCACAGCATGGCAGGCACAGCATGGCGCGGCGCGGCCCAGACAGCACGGGCCCGCGGGCGATCCCGGACACCGCCCCGCTCCCTCACCTTGAGCGCCTCCAGCCCCATGAGGCGCGTCTTGCGCTCCTGATCCTTGAGGATGAGGAAGGGCCGTCCATACTCATCGAACGCGAGAGTCCCCATGGCCGACATGGCTGCGCCTCCTGCTCCGACCGCCGCCGCTCGCGCGCACCGCCCGGAAGCCGCCGCGCCCGCCGCGCGCCGCCCCGCGCCTGCGCACTCGCCATCGCCGCGACTCCTTTGGCGAGCGCGGCTTCTGTGGCGCCCCCAGCGCAGCCTTCTGGAAGCGTCCGGCGCCGGGGGAGGAGCGCGGCCAYCGCGGCCACATCCCCGCCTCACAGGGGCGGGGAGGGAACGGGAGGATGGGCTGAGGTGGGCGGGATACAGGCGGCGAGTGTCGCGGTAGCGGGCTGCACCGGATGACGTGAGGGCGGAGGAGTGAAGACAAACCGGCGGCGGAAAAAGTGTGAGCGGCGCTTCTCTCCGGAGCGCCTTCAGAAAGGTTTCGGTCTCCCACTCCCTCATAGTGAAGTGGTACTGCCCTTCTCTATAAATATTATAGGCCGAGTACAATTCTGGRCTGGTCATTGGCGAGTCGTGGTGTGTGATGCTGATGTTGCTGGGTGTCAGGGAAAAGTTCCTCTGCAAAGGAAGAGCAGTAACCCCTGGACGTGTCCCCGGTGGCGGGCGGTCCGTGGCGGGAAGGATCCTGCCTCCGCCGCCCTTGAGCTGTTCCGGGGAGGGCCACGGGATTAAATGGAAACTGCATTCCTTGTAACTCAGCTTTTCAGCAACTGTAGCATTTCCCTGGGATCTGGGAATCGGCTGAAGGGGTATAAGGTGTTTCTTTTCCTCTCTTACGTCCTATCTCTTTGCTACAATATGCTGATTTGGCTCAAGTGAGCATTTAATAAATCTGACAGCGAAAACACTTTGCGGTCCGCAGGCGCGATGTCCCAGCCGCTGGCAAAGAAGATCCCGCAGGAGGAGGGCGAGGGCGGCTCCCGGAGGAGCAGCTGGGGTCTGCTGGTCACGGCCGGCGTGGGCGGGACCTTGGTGGCCCTYTATGCTGTGGCCACCCCTTTTGTGACCCCGGCCCTGAGGAAGGTGTGCCTGCCCTTCGTTCCTGCAACTGCAGCTCAGATCCAGAATGTGCTSAAAATGTTGGAAAACAGAAGTGGCTCCCTAGTTGACATTGGTAGCGGGGATGGACGGATTGTAAGTTATGGATGTTGCCTTGGTTTTAGATCAMCTCTTGAAAAGTGCCGGAGTGCTGGGGCTGTGTTTTCTCACACTTATGAATGTTCTGTCTTTGGCACCCATTGGTTTTGTCTGAGTCTTGTGAAAAGAGTCAAAGCTGAGGAAGGTTTACGTTCAGTTTTGATGAGTAATAAATAGTTTTTGCTCTTACCTGCAGCTTGAGCAAGGTAGTGTRTAAAGTCATCGTGGTGACTGGAAGRAATCGCAGTGCATTCACGTGAAAAGATGTGATCAGTCTTGGTGCTGTGATTGACAAAGAGCTGTGATTATTGACAAAGGCGTGTAGCTGAAGCAAGTGAGTCTGTGAAGTTAAAGAGCACTGTTCAATGGTTAATGTATAAAGGCGATAAAAATGCAAAAGAGAATGAACAATGGATTCTAGAAATAAAAACCCTGGTATGGTTAGAACTGTATTTTTCACACCTGTGTGAAGTGCTTCCCCACTTTCAAATTCGTGTGGTAAAACTAGAATATGCATTAAGACAAGTGGTGAGAATCATGAAAGGCAAAGTGGTGTTGTGTTTCCAGGATATTGCTTGAGCCCCAGTTTGTGAAATATGTTGATGAGGGTATAGTAGAGAATGGGGTGGGTTTTTCTTTGTAGTTATGGGTTTGTTTTTTTTTTTTTTTTTTTTTTGTGTGCCTTTTCATAAGCACCTGTTTCTATCACATTTAGCAACAGGGTGGTGCACTAAATTTTTGTGACAGAAAGAAGTAAGTTCTTGAATGCTACCTTTGTCCATGTTTCATGTGGATAAGTCAACCATTTTGTCCACCCCCCAAAAAAATCTATTTGGAAATCCAAATCTGTGAGAGTTGCTTGAATTGTGCCTGGGTAGGAAAAAGACCAAAGCTGTAGGCATGATGCCCTCTGTTCATCATTCTGGCTGATGACTCTGATCAGAGGTGTCTAATTTGAATAGGTACTGCATACTTAATTCTGATTATATAGATGTCTAAATGAAGACTGAAGACTATTTGGAAAGCCAGGTATCTAAAACTGAATGMTTGGTGCTTCTTTAATGTATCTGTYCTGAAAAAAAGTGTGTTCAAATGCTGTTTAATATTTAGCACTTACTCAGGTGTAATCGGTGGATGAATATGAAGATGTTTACCACATTGCCAAGTGTGGTAAAAATGTCAGGTTCTTTTAGTGAATTTGCAAGTGCTCTGTGTGYGATGGAAGACACAATAACAGAGTGAAATATACTGTCCAGGTAATGCTGTTTTAGAAGTTCTGGTAGGAAATGTGTACTTCTTCCTGATTTCRCCTTGCTTGTTTTGTAATTGGTAGTTCATCAGGTGATTCCTGATTAGAAGTTGGCAGTAACCTTTTARATTATGTCTTAAACCTTTATTCTAGAAATTGGTGCATTTTTTTGTTTTTTTTTAAAATGTAGATCGGCAGATTACTTTCTGGCTCTTTCCATTGGTATGTCATTTTGGTTCTGATCCAGGGGCTKTTCAAGTGCCTACCCCTCACTACTTTTCAAATATGTGGTCTAATTTTGCAAATTTTTCTTGTGTGTTTCGTTGGTCTCTCTGTGGTCTATTTKGATACTCTTTAATTCCAAGACAATCTCATGAGTGTGTTAAATTAAACTTTTATGTAAGTCATAGATGTACTGCAAGCTCAGCACCTTTGCCCTGTGGATGTTTGTTTTCATTTGGTTTGCCTCRCTATATTTCAGTTGGACTAGTCATAATACTAAAATGTAGTTTTGAGTTTTTGTTCACCATATATAACTAATCTGTTGGGTATTAAACTTGGGTGACTCAGAAAAATGCTTTCTTTTGATTTATATTTTAAATAAAACTGTGTGCTCCTGTTTTGGTGAATAGACTTTTATGTCTCTAAGTGAGGRTTTATTTGCTTCCTTGTAGGTGATAGCAGCTGCAAAAAAGGGATTCCAAGCTGTCGGTTATGAATTAAATCCCTGGCTAGTCTGGTACTCCAGATACCGTGCCTGGAGAGATGGAGTACATCAGAATGCCAAATTTTATATTTCAGACTTATGGAAGGTAGGTAGTGAATTGTGTAAGAATGAATCTGTGATGAGTGAGAGATTTTATTAGTTTGGAAACACTTTCCTGAAAGAGCTGAAATGCTGACTGACCACAAGGTGCTATATTGGGCTTTGGGCAAAGTACTGTTCTACGAGTCTGGTTTCTATGGGCTCAGGATGCTGTTCTGCTGCTTGTGTGCTTTGTTGAAGCRCATCTTTTATCAGTAGAGGTTCCTTGGGCAGGCCTGGGCCTGATCAATTATGTGGGGGAGCTTTTTTCTGGGTGTAGGGGTTTTTGTGTTTAGAGAGGAGCATAGGAGAACTTCATGGCTGTGACTGTAAGAACCCAGTCATTAGGATGCCTGAAAAGTTTTTATAGCTAGCTAACAGTTAACAAAAGGGACAAACTTAAAGCATACGTGATTTTATCATGTACCGGAGTTGTGAAAATAATCCCTTAGTTTTTAGTAAAATCATGTATTTTCTAAATTAATGATTTCTRTGCTATTAGAATTGGTGCCATATTCTTGGCCAGTATTCTTGGACAGTAAAAGTTTTTTGCTGTTCAGCAATATAAAGTTTTCTTTRTGTGGGAGTTTTTGTGATGAAAAGTTGGTAAAGGATCTCCTTGCATATTTTTGGTCTAAATCCCTGTTGAAAGAAGTGCAGCTAGAGGGATTAGGAGAAAAGAATGGTGAGAATTTCTTCAACTATAAATACCATTTTCAATAAGATTTGTTTTTAATCTTTATTTTAGGTTTCTTTTTCCCACTACACAAATGTTGTTGTTTTTGGGGTACCTCAAATGGTAAGTTTACCATTTGTTCTTTATTTTCATTGTATTACGGYATTTTCTTTATTATACTGTTAAATTACTTATTACAATGCTTRATTATTTTAATACCAAAGCATTCAGTATGAATACTTAGGACAAGGGGTAACGGATACAATCACTACTGTTCCTAAGGAACAATTCTGGGGATGGGGCATCCACAGCTTCTCTGGGCAACCTGTTCCAGTGTCTCACCAGCCTTACAGTGTAGAATTTCTTCCTAATGTCCAAGCTTAACCTACTGCCTTTCAGTTTGAAGTCATTCCCCCTTGTCCTGTTGCTACATGTGCTTGTAGAAAAGTCCATCTCCACCTTGTAGGCTCCCTTCAGGCACTGGAAGGCTGCAATTAGGTCATCCTGGAGCCTTCTCTTTTCCAGGCTGAGCAAACCCAATTCCAACAGCCTTTGCTTCAGTGTTGCTTGTTCCTTTGCTAAGACAGAGTGAAGAGCTTTACGTGATGTCATACCACACAGCCTACACTGAAAATATTTCTGCAGCAGGAACAGGAACCATAGTAAACCTTTCTATTCTGTGCTTCTTTGTTTGTTTGTTTGTTTGGTTTTTTTTTCAACGTCACTGGAAGTAAATATCTACTTCAGACTCCAAYTGTAATCCGTGTTGGAATCTGAAGTGGCTATGGGTGGGATATTAGTGATGTTCTCATGCTGCCAGCTGTGGGTGTTACGTGCTCCCTTGCCTGAGTTCCGGCAGGGGGCACTGTAAGCGTTTGGATTTGCGGTCGGGAATTCTGCCGTTGCATCGAGGGGAAAGGTGCTGGTAAGGAAACATGCCTCAGTAAACTAGGAATAAACAAATGCCCTGGGAATATGTGAGTAAACCAAGAAGAAATACTGAATTAACGTCTAAATGTAATGAAGTGGGATACATTAGTAACAGCTATGACAGTGTAGCTATAGGGCTCAGAATAACTTCTGTAGATTCAGTKAATACTAGATTAAATTCTATCAGCAGAAGAACTGACATAAATGCAACAGATGCAGACATGCAAACTTCTCTGTTTCCTGACCATTTGTTTGCTTATGATCCCCTTTAAGTTTACTTCAGAARTTGTAAATGCCCAGCCTCCTGAATGACTAAATTAATTTTCTAGAAATCTTAATGTATTCTTTTTTTTTACTGAAGAACAATAGATCTCTTTATCTTTTTTTAATAATGCTGGCCTGATTTGATGCCGTCACACAGTGTTTTTATTTAATATCCAAGATTAGCTTAAAAAAACTGAATTTATTGATCTTCAGGGAAGACTAAGACCTCTCTTGTTCTTGCAAAGGTCTAGGGGGAAGGTGTGTTTGTTTCTGAGTCATTACAGAGAGAGWGACTTACTTGTTCCAGGTGGGATGATGGAATTTTTGCCAGGTGTTCGTGTTTGCAGCTCCTGTGTATTTTAACTGATTATATACTGTACAAAAGGTTCACTAAACTCTATATCTATGTTGACACACCAGAAACCCCCCCCCCAACCCTGGCTTCACATAAAATACAGTATGATTGTAACACCTAATGTAAGTGATATATTAGCTTAAAAACTAGTTTGGTTCAAGGATGTAATTCTTTTTGGCTGAACTTGGCTAAATTATTAATGATGTCTTCTAATTTGAGCTAATATGGACATGCACTGTCACTGATTTTCATAAATACTCCTAAAAAATTAGTCCATGTCTATATTTGTAATTTCTGTAACAAATTAAAAATTTTTCTGRTGTCTCAACTCAGTTTTAGATAACAAAGTGGGCTTATTTTTCTGGTTTGTTTAAGGTGTGGCAGCAAAAATGTTTAAAAGCATTTGCAGTGTGAATTAAATCAGAGCCTTAAAAATATTTGGAAGTAACTCTTTGATATATTAGATCTATGACTGTAATTTTCCTAAAATATTCCATTGTTAGCTTAAATGTAGCTATAATAGGATTTTTCATCAAAGGCACACACACCCTGCATGCATGTGATAGTGGAAGCTCTGCAGTTTGTGGAAATAAATTTTCTTCAGTCAGTCTTGTTTGCATAAATGTCCTTTTGGGTTTCCTTTATTTTTTCTCTTTTGTACATAATTACTGCCCTTTAAATTTTTTTAGTATCTAGATGTTGCATCATGGTATCAAAGTAGATAGTGTTTTATGTGTAGTAGAAGCAGCCTGTAGAGTTTGCTGTTAAAATTACTCATTCAGATAGATACAATACATAAGAATMAAAGGAACTCCAAATGGATGTACACTGCTGATCTGCTTAAGCATGCCATCAAACTTTTCCAGAGGACAAGAGTGGCTAAATCTGTTAGATTTTTTTTTCCTATAACGTAACACTACCTGGGATAGGAAAGAAATTTCTTTGAAATCTACTTGTGTTAATTTATTTCTCACTAAATCCGTTGCAGAATTTGGAAAGCACTTCTTAGAAAAAGTGCATCTGACTGGTCAGGGTGTTGCTCTGCTCTAGAAAAGTTGTGATATTTCCTGGCTTTCATTTCCTCTCTGTTTTGGTGAATGGAGGAAAGCTGGACTGTAGATCTTCAGCCAAGTACAGTTGCATAATGGTATGTGACACAGTTCTCACCAGCATCCTTCTCTCTAAACTGGAGATGGATTTGGTGGACAGACTGTTCACTGGATAAGGAATTGTCTGGATGACTGCATCCAGAGGGTAGTGGTCCATGTCTCAATGTCCAGGTGACAATCAGTTACAATTGGTGTCCTTCAGGTGTCTGTATTAGGAGCAGTCCTGCTTCATATCTTCATCAATGATATAAACAGTGGCACTGAGTGCACTCTCAGAAAAAATTGCAGTTGACACCAAGCACGTGAATCCCTTCAGCAGCATTCCATGAAACAGAATGTAGAATCATGGAATGGTTTGGTTTGTAAGGGAACTTTAAAGGTAATCTAGTTCAACACCCCTGCCATRGGCTGCAACACCTTAATGGGGCGTGGATTTGACTAAGCTCAATTTCAACATTATTTAGCATAACAGTATTTTACCATAGACTGACAACAGAATGTTTGCTTTGGGTTGTCTGTGTGATGTTTTGAGTGTCCCAGGATTTGTCTTAGACTGTGAATTTTGAGCAGTGTTGACGTTTGAGTAATACCCAATAGCTCGTGAACCTTCGGGTGTCATACACAGCATAAATTCAGGAGGCTGAAATTTGATTTTCCACAGAGAAGAATCCCTTGATTTTCCACAGAGAAGAGAATTGTGAATTGGAAAGTGCAAAGCCTTCTCTTTGCAGTTTGGGTTTTTTTTTTTTTTTTTTTTTTTTTTTTTTTTTTTTTTTTTTTTTTTTTTTTTTTTTTTTTTTTTTTTTTTAGAACTTAAAGTTATGATTTCCTTGATGTCACCAACTGGGGCACAGTAACCATTTTCTGGTTTTAGATATTCTTTGTCAGGGCATCAAAGCCAAAATATGTATAATGAATACTTGCTAAGATTTTTTTTTAAAAAAATTACTCAAATCTTGGATTTTCTTGAACACTTGAATTAGGCTTTAAAGAGAATAGTTCTGGTTTTTTACTGCTTCTGAGAGGTTTTTCCTGTAACTCAACAGATGCCACAGCTGGAGAAGAAGCTGGAAGAAGAACTTGAATGTAATGCCAGAATCATTGCCTGTCGCTTTCCTTTCCCTTGCTGGATTCCAGATCATACTACTGGAGAGGGAATAGACACTGTGTGGGCCTATGATTTGAAACATTCTAGAGGATGTGAAACAAAAAGTTTGCAAATCACACCAGAGACAGAATCCTAAACATCTAATCTGTTTTTTTTACTGAAACTTTTAGCTTTGACTGGACTTGTTGAAGATAAGATTATTGTGAATAGAGCCRTGGCCTATGAAGATATGTATTAATTAAAAGAACTGAAGTACAACTGGTGGTTTTCTGAAAGCACAGAAAAATTACTGAAAGGTGTAGTTAAATGGCTTGATGCTGTGTCCTGGTTTTACCCTATCTGGCAGTGAAGTACCACACTGATGTTTGCTCACTCCAGCCCCCACACTCTCCCAGTAGGGTGGGGAGGGAAACTGGAAAAAATCCCTGACCATGGATTGAAATAAGAATGGTTTAATAATTGAAACAAAGTAATGATGATGATGATAGTAATAGAAATACTAATAATGGCCAAAAAAAAAGAGAGGAGTAAAACCCAAGAAAGATGAGTCATGCACCGTACCCATGCTCACCACTACTGATGGATGCCCATCCCAGAGAAGCAATTGGTCTCTCCTTGCCAGCTCTCTGCAGTTTGTATACTGGGCATGGTGTGGAATATCCCTTTGGCCAGTTTGGGTCAGCTGTCCTGGCCATGCTTTCTCCCAGCTTCTTGCACCCCTCTTCATTGGCAGAGCATGACAAACTGAAAGTCCTTGGCTTAGCATCAACTAAAACATCAGTTTGTTATCAGTGTTAGTCTTATTCTGAGTAAAAAACCACACAGCACTCTACCAGCTACTAGGAAGAAAATTAACTCCCAGCTGAAACCAGGACATGTAGTTAGTCAAAATGATGAAAAAGTTTTTATAGAAGTGGAGAACTTTAATATGGAAGATTTGAAGGGAATATATGTATAAGTTAAAATGCTTAAATTGGCAAACTTAGTATATGCATTCTTTCTGACCCTGCAGAGCATTTGTTATTGRTGTTGGAAGTGGTGTGCAAGGGGCTCCCTAAATGAGCTGTGTTTCCCAAATGTCTGAATTATSTATGCCAAGTAGCATAAAACTGCATGCCCAAAACTGATCCAGATGGAGTATGGTGATGACACTTASGTTTCACACCACAGTCTTGAGTGTATATTTTTAAAAGTTGAGTATGATAAGACAAGCAAATACAACAAATTGTTTTTGTACAAGTGCAGCCCCCGATTGTATGAATGTATTTTTATTTAACTTGTGTGCTGTGTTAACATCATCTGGAAAATAAACTCTGAGTAAGCCACTCCCCTTCTTCACCTCTTTCAGTAAGGGAAGGGCAAAAGCAGAAATTATGGGTTGAGGTAGCAGTGAATAAGACATGCACAGCAACAACAACAATRTTAATAGCAAAAGGATACAAAAGAGAAGGTATTTTACTGACAGAAGTGTTCACCGCTGGGAACAACAATAAGATGGAGGATGCTTCATGCTTCATTAGATCATGTCTGCATGGCTTTGCAGACAAAGGCAATGTGATGGCTGGGAAGGCAAAATGTCCATCTTCCAGTGGACCAGGGGTTTTCCTTCCAAAACCATGCCTGCCAAGAGTCTGGGAGATACAGAAAACCAACCTGGCTACAGCCTCAGCTCTGACCCCTCTCTGCAACCAGGGCAACTTGTTACGTGAACACAAAACTTCAGAAGGATGCTCTTTTTGAACTCTTACTGGTATAAGGTGTTGCAGATGGCCATAATTTTTCCTAATCTTTCTGATCTAGGAAAAGTTTCAAAAGTTAACTTGTCAGTGAAGTGTCACCATTTCTGTATGCTCAAACTTTGTATAAAGATATGGATGAGAGTTACTTGAATGCTTGAAGGCTGTCTCTGATTTCAGAGCTAGTTGTTCTGGCTAGCTTGGCTAATTCTGATTAACCTTTTTATAATTTATAGTGAGATGAGAAGAAAGGTTTTCAATCAGACTTGTTTTTCCTTCTACTTTTCCATACCATTTGATGAGATCTCAAAAACTCATGGTATTGCTATATGGCTTTTCCTTGTAACTTATGCAAGTTCTCCCTTTCCTTTTGCTCATACTGGTTTGCAGTGRGGTACTGTCGTTGCATTGATGTTTTCCTTTCCTGCCATGGTGATAACACTTTCCTGTTATGTAATGGTCTGCTTACTTGTTCTCCTATTCAGGTTCTCAGGTAAAGTTGTACTGTTTCCACCCATTAGCAATTAGTCAAAGGTAATAGTCAGCCTCCCCTGTCCCTGTACAGTTAATGTACAGCTTGTTTGTTAAGCAGTAACTATGTGAGTTTGTCAAATCTTCCCATGTGTGTTACCCATAGAATGAAGCAAAAACAAGCTGGGCAATTGTCACCTAACTTCAAGGCAGTCATTACCACAACTAAAATGGGCTCAGTCCAAGACAATTGCTGAGACCCTACAATTTCAGGTAAATACAAAGTCTGACATTTTATCAGATGTTGGGAAAGCAAGTTTGGGTGGACTGTAGAATCTGGCTTGAAGAGAAGGTGGGTGTTGTTTGGGATGTATAGTCTACAGTAAGGCCTGTACCCTTTTTTTTTTTTAAATGTGAAAGGACAGGAGGAGAAGTTAAAATATAAATCTACACTGAGGATTTGAAATTGACCATGGTTTTATCCTGAAAACGTACACAAAGCAGGAGAAGAAAGGGGCAAATGTGTCTGGAGTGTGCAAAGGAGAGGTGATTTCAGCCTTTCAGCAAGGCACAACTGTGAACATGGAGACTGTGTGTACTGAAGCACACCAGTGTCTGGTAAGCAGTCTTGCAGCCTTTCTCTGCTAGAATGCATAAAACGTCCTGTGAAACTACGCTAAATCCTTTCTATAATGATTTAAGTGTTATGATCATTAYACAGTGACAGGATAGAGTGGTTTATCTAAAATGCCTGAATTTAATAACTGAAGGCCATAAAACTGGAACCTCAGACAAAGCAAATCTGAAATTATTTCTAATGAAAAAAGACTAACAAAGGGGAAATTAGCTAATTAAGCAAAATCCTTCCCTGAATGATCATAAAGGAAAAGAGGAGACAAAAGATTCTGATCCATTCAATTGTCTGTGACTCATCTGCAGTGCAGTGCTTTGACCCAAGTTTCYACAGCCTGCTTTCACTAAATTTAGTTTGTAGGGAATGAAGCAGTTATTTACTTTTCTCCTGTATTTGACAATATATTTTTCTAGTGCATTAATCTTTGTCTGCTAAAGGGTAAAACTGAATTTCTCATTTTTGCCTGTTGTAAGGCTTTAGGGATGGGCACTTCCTAGTTAGCACCTATTAGTCCAGAAATACTTGTTGAGGAGGGCACARTAGAATAAATGGTGTGATAGTTTGAGCTTTAGGAGTAGTAAAAGCTGTCCTCAAGGCAAGGAGAGATTTATGCATGTTTTAARGTAAAGCAGAGGGCTTTTGTTTCTTGATCTGGCTATTTACTTTTGGGGGGCTACACTGAATTAGGCAGTGGTCTGATGGTTCAGGATTCCCTATAACTATAAGGAAATGTGCTATATTTCCTGTTTCCGTGTCTTAAGTGTGAAATGGAAAGAAAGTGTTCTTCCAATTTACACAGAAGGACCGGGAAATCATTTCCTTGACATGTTGTTCTTTCCTATCACTTGCTATGTTCATTTGATAGTTTTCAAGATTAAATACTTAACTATGACTTCAGTTATCACTGTTTGGATTATTATGTTGATACACTTCCAATTTCTAAGGTAATCTATTATGATTTTGTTGATATGATACTTCAGAATAAAAAAACTATTTCTTCTGAAAACAAGGTAAGAGAATTACCTCACTTAAATTATAGTGTAGGTCTGAAGCCAAAAGGTAGAAACATTCAAGCTACACTTACCAAAGTAATTCATACAAAAATTCATACAAAAAAGATACACAAAAGAACCCTATAGTTTATCTTTCTTTGTATCTTCTAGTAGAATCACTTGCCTTTTGGGAGTTACTTGTGTTATTCTTTTCCTTGCCCTGCCAGATTTTAGCAAAGAAAGGTGTTGCATTACTGAATGATTAACACTTTCCTGAAATACTGAGAATTTGATTTGCTTGTAAATAGTAAAGGTCAAGGTCAGACTTACAAATGCTTTGTTCTTTTCCCCCTCTTTGTATTGAGACATATTATGTCCATGCAGGTTTTGTGATACAAGATGAATTATACCAATGGTGCTGCAATTCTATTTTATGTAGCTTTCCATTTTCATTTTGCAGAAATTGGCTTTRTAGAGAGAAGGAGGCAGGTATGGCTGCAAGACAGCCTAGTGATAGGCAGCTTGCTCAGTAAACTGCATAGTCACTGCAGCCACACAGCAATGTCAGCCAAACTTGTTCTAGATTTGTCTGAGAAATGTAGACATATTTTGTGGGTTTTAGGCATTCCTGTATTACTGGACATATTGAAGTTCTTGTCTTACCCTYKTGTCWGATTATATGCTGCTATTTATTCTGATACTGCTCCAAGAAAGTTAATCCTCTATCTCTGAGCTGCTGTTTATTTCTAATTCAGGACTTGTAACCAGGTTAGAAGATACAGAGTCCAGTTTCAAATAAAGCACCACACAAGCCATTGAGTGAATATGGTCTGTGGAAAAAGTTCCAAATCCCGGGCTTTGGGGAAGTCTTTCACCCTTCATCAAGGACGCAGCTTCAGAAGGCAAATCTCCTGAATTCTGCATAATTTAACAATGGCTTTGCTTTTCTCATGTGTGTGTTCTTCAAAAAGTTTGATCACTGTAATACCATTTTAAGATCTATAGGAGAAGTAAGCAAAGGCAACACTTTGGTTATCATTTATATTTGGAGTTAAGGGAGAAAAGGACAAAGGGGATCTTATAGCCCAAGTAGGGAAGTTTGGYCTATTTCAAAAGCAGTTTGACAGACTTGCATCATCTCTGTGTACTTCTCATAGAACACATGCCATGAATGTGATGAGCGTTCACTCAGAAATGGGTTCATATCTGATGCCATTGCTCTTGGATAAACACTAATTATTGATTGATTGCCTCATACTTTTATAGTTTCATTTTCCRTGGTTTACAAATACTGAAGCATTTATTCAAGAAAGGACATGAGTCCCTCAAATTCGTAATTGAATTTTGGATTGTCTTGTGCAGGGCCAGGAGTTGGACTTCAATGATMCTTGGGKACCTCTTCCAGCATAGGCTATTCAATGATTCTATGGTTGAAGAGGGCAGCCTAACATCAGATTTAATGCCAGTAAATTCTGCTGAGAGKGAATTATTTTTCATTTACATTTGTCAAGATTGAGTTCTGTAGTTTTAAAATGTAGGCCCGACTTGCTTYTCAGAAATAATATGTTTCTTCTGGAAGATTTCTTGAATTCTTGGTGAGACAGTGTGGCATCTATGTTTAACTTAAAAATCACCCTTGAGTGAGATTACTGAAAATATTGTGCAGCTTTTTTTTTTCTTTGCATGATAATTTTTCTGTTCATCCTTGTATGTTTTACTGAGGGAGACTTATACATGGAAAATTACCATTTTCCCCCAATTCTTTTTCTGAATTCTCCCACTTACTTAAGTGTTTGCTTTGATTTTTCATATTGTCTTTTTACAATTTGACTGACTTCATAAATTAATCAGTCTCCAAATTTCCTTTATGTTTTTTTTTCCTGTAAATCAGTTTCCTTTTTCCTTTCCCCAGCCGCTTTGAAGGGAGACTAAATATGTTAAGGAATGTTCTTTTTCTCTCTAACATTTTAACATGTATTTAACTAACCTTGATTTATTTAGTAGTCTGTATGCTGACATAGCATGACTTTTGTTTCCACAGTATGAAAGAAAAACACATCCACACCAATGATATTTAGACTGAAAAATGGCCTTGGTCTACAACAATTCTGGCTATTCAGTAGTTTTAAGTACCTAATTTCACTTTTTTTTTTTATATTTCATCACATGGTAAATGAAYACAGGCCTTTTATCCCTTCGGTAATTCTTTGGATTTGGGTTGTTTGTTCAGGTGGGATTTTTGCTGATTTCTTTTTCTTCGTATAATGTTGGCATTTCTATTAGAGGCTTTGGTTGAAATGTCAGATGGATGTTTTTTCTGCAAGTTGGTGTGTAGACCTGGAAYAATCACTGTGATATACTCCTGTGAACTACTGGCATTGGTAAAAATTATGTGAAACCTGCTTACCAGTAAATACACAGGGATATTTTTCAACTTACTGTGTATGTTGTGGTTTTTAAAAGTAAAGGAGGTTCTTGAAGACCATMTAAAACTTGTGGCATAAAGAGGTCTTTGCAAGGTCAGAAGCAGTAAATTACTGGCTTTCAATCTGAGGTTTGTGGCTACCTTCTGAGRAATCCACAATGAGTAATTTAAAAAGTAGATCTGCCATCAGTAGGTTTATATTTGCTACCCGTGGTTGTGTTTTTCCACTGGAAAATTTTAATGTTTCTGAAATGATCATTTGAGAATCCCTGGACTAAAAATATGWGTTTACGTAAGATATTAGCTAAATGGAAATGAGCTTATCAAAGTGAGGAAGTTTTTTTTTTCTTCATTCTGTTGTTGCTTGCCTGATTGTTGAGCTTTGAATCTCTGTGGTGTACARGCYTCTGTGTCTCTTCTGATAACTTCCYATTCTGCTGTGTGAGAGCAGTGTCATGGTTTTGCACATTCCCATTGCACTCTAATAATTCTGGCTTTTCAGGTAATCTATGATAGATCTGCTATAAGGAACTAATTAATTTTTTTTTTGGTTTTAGGATCTGCTTAAACTTTAAAATTACATCTTCAAAACTCATGATGACCTGCCACTGAAGCCTGTCCAAAAGGCCAGCAGAGTCCATGAAACTCCTTAATGCTGTAATGCCTGCAGCTGTCCACGCCAAAGCTATGGTTCAGAGAGGCAGAAGTGCGTACCTCTCTTGTAAATGCTCTCTTGATTCTTAATTTTTTGATTTAAAATGGAAGTGTGAGAAGACACAAAAGGAATTATCAAGAGGAGGATCTGTGTGAGCTCTGTGAGACAGAAATGAGTGRTGAGTGATACAGCCAAAATCTGAGTCTTCTCTGTCCTTGTAGCCCTTAAAGTTTGATGCTGTCTTTTCTTTTTATTATTTCCCCTGAAGATTGTGTAGCTTTTCTTGGAAGTATGCTTCTTTTTCTTTCTTTCTTATTTTTTTTTCAAGTTTTTCAGAGTGTATCAGAGTGTACACAAATCAAAGTAATTTATATGTCCAAATGTGCCATTCTCTAAATTGTGCACAGGARCCCTCATCATCCATGTTCATGTATATTTTATTGCTGCTTCCTTCTTTTCAGTACACAGAAACCAGACTTATACTCTGAGTACTTTTTTGTCAATACATAAATAAGCCTTGTGGGTGTGATCAATACCAATTAAGTTTATTTGCAAGCACAGGTCTCATACTGAAGCAACTCTAGAAGGGAATTTGAGCAGCAATGGGATAAATAGTGGTCATCCCGGGAAAATACTGATGTTACGTAGAGACAGTGATAGTGAGCTCTTATGCTACTGAGGTACTTTTAATTTCAGTGG